ACTTCAGACATGCACACTGGGCTGGAGAATCCCGGGAACAGAACCCGGGACGGCCGCGCAGAGCTGCGTCCCGCTCTGGGCTCTGCAATCCCGGGAACCACCAACCTTGCCCACCATGCCCGCCGGCCAGAGCGAGGGGATTGGCCCACTTATTGCCGGCTACTTCTGAAGGTAAAAAACAAAACCAAAAAGCCTTAAGATAGCATGCTCGGGTGGGAAACTGCTCCGGGGAAGGTTTGGGGCACAGAGGGGGAGCTGGAACGCGCCAAAGAAATCAGAAAACAGTGTCTAGGGCTGGAGAGATAGTACAGCAGGGCACTTGTCTAGCGTGTGGCTGACCTGGGTTCATTCCCTGGCACTGCATATGGTTCTCTGAGTTCTGCCAAGGGTGATCCCTGAGCACAGGGCGAGGAGTAAGGGGTGAGCACTATTTGCTGGGTCCTCCCCCCTACTTGCAATCTCCCAAAGACATTCTTTTTTTTTATTCCTTTTTTTTTTTTGGAGGGGGTCACACCCGGCGATGCTCAGGGGTTCCTCCTGTCTCTGCACTCAGGAATCCTGGCAGTGCTCGGGGGACCATATGGGATGCTAGGAATCGAACCTGGGTCGGCTGCTTGCAAGGCAAACGCCCTACCCGCTGTGCTATCGCTCCACCCCCCACCTCCAAAGACATTCTATAGACCACTCACTTCTCTTAGGTGGGTGCTTTCCCTCCTGCCGCTCCAGAAGCCCACGAACCACCACTGTTTGCAGAGTTAAAAACATATTTGGCATTCTAGGAACGGTGGGAAGCTAGCTGTCTTTTTTGTAGTAAAGGACAGGGAAAAAAACCCGGGGAACCGTGTGTGGATGTTGGAAATGGGGGGCATGCCTGACCTTTTTAATTAATTTTTTTTTTTTTTTGCTTTTTGGGTCACCCCCGGTGATGCGCAGGGGTTCCTCCTGGCTTTGCACTCAGGAATTACTCCTGGCGGTGCTCAGGGGACCCTATGGGATGCTGGGAATCGAACCTGGGTCGGCTGTGTGCAAGGCAAACGCCCTACCCGCTGTGCTATCGCTCCAGCCCCACAATTCATTGTTTTCTTGAACTGCTCCCTCTCTCCTTCTCCACCCAATCCACTTGATCCAAGGTCTCTGTCTCTCCTCCCAGGGAGAGATGCTCCTTCCTCCAGGGCTCCTGGGGTCTCCCACAGGAGGGCCTGACCTAGTGGCCGCAACAAAGACAGCCGAGAAGGGGATGATGGTGGAATGTCCCAGGGGCCTGGAAATGTGGGGAGAGATGCCTTCAAGCCTGCGTGGAAATGCGGAGTTGGTTTGGGAGGGGTCAGAAAGAGCTAGGGGAAGGGTTGGGGGATGCGTCAGCGGCCAGAGTGGGCTGCGGTGCATTGAGGAAGTGAAAACTCAGACAGGACTTTTGCAGCCATTTTTGCAGCCATTTTCCCGAGAAGTCTGGGAGACGGATCCCAATTAGCTTTTTGTTGTTGTTGTTGTTTTAATTTTTATTTGGGCCAGACCTGGCAATACTCAGGGCTTACTCCTGGTTCTGTGCTTGGGAGTCACTTCTGGTGAGCTTTGGGGACCAGATGGGGAGCCGGGGATCGAACTTGGGTTGACTGCATGTAAGGCAAACGCCCCACCTACTCTACCATCACTCCGGCAGCCAGGTTTTGCTTTAGTTTAGAAAAGCCATTGAAGGTAGACAGGGAGAGGAGGCACAGAGAGACGTCGCAGGGGGGCTGTTTAACCTGTGTGATTCTTACAAAGGTGACACGGAACCCCAGGTAACCCCTGACCACCCAGGCAGGAGCCTGTGTTTGTTAGATAAATTTAGCTCCAAAGTCCAGAGCGGCAGAGAGCCAGGACCAAGAGATGGGCCACTCACCAAGGACAGACACAAGGCCAGAGATGTGGTAAGTGAGAACCAAGAATCGGCAGGGCCATGCAGGGACCCCATTACCTCCTTATAAAAAATATATCTCAGAGGTGAAGGTTGGGTTTATGCCAACCTGAGATTCTCCGCCACGCCTTCTCGACCATGTTCCTTCTTCCTAGCCTTGTAATTTTTCTTTTATAATTTAGTTCTTGGGCCACATCTGGCAGTGCTCAGGGCTTACTCCTGGCTCAATGCTCAGGGATCATTCCTGGCAGGCTCAGGGGACCCTGTGGGGTGCTGGGAATCAAACCCATATCAACTGCATGCAAGGCAAGCATCCTACTTGCTGTAACGTCTCAGGATTCTCTCTATCTTTTTTGGCGTTTTGGGTCACACCCAGTGATGCTCAGGAGTTCCTCCCGGCTCTGCACTCGGGAATCACTCCTGGCAGTGCTCAGGGGGCCATTCAGGATGCCGGAGATTGAACCAGGGTTGGCCACATGCAAGGCAAATGCCCTCCCTGCAGTACTATTGCTCCAGCTATCAGGCCTCTTCTTCCTTCTTTTTTTTTTTCTTTTTGGGTCACACCCAGCGATGCACAGGAGTTACTCCTGGCTCATGCACTCAGGAATTATTCCTGGCAGTGCTCAGAGGATCCTACGGGAAACCAAACCCAGGTCAGCGGTGTGCAAGGCAAACGCCCTACTCACTGTGCTATCGCTCCAGCCCCTCTCTCTTACCTCTTTTTTTTTTTTTGGGTCACACCCGGCGATGCGCAGGGGTTACTCCTGGCTCATGCACTCAGGAATTGTTCTTGGCGGTGCTCAGGGGACCATATGGGATGCTGGGAATCGAACCTGTGTTGGCCATGTTGGCTGCGTGCAAGGCAAACGCCCTACCCGCTGTGCTATCGCTCCAGCCCCTCTCTCTTCCCTCTTATTTGTGACAAGTTCTATTGCTCTTCCTCCATCCTCGGTCACCCATATTGCCATATTCCCCTTTTTTCCAGGTGCATTGTCCTATTTGCCTTGTTGGCACGAGTCTCTGCTGAGCCCACCCTGTATGGGGAGATCCTGTCCCCTAACTACCCTCAGAACTACCCCAATGATGTGGAGAAAGTTTGGGATATAGAAGTTCCCGAAGGATATGGGATCCATCTCTACTTCACCCATCTGAACATTGAGCTGTCGGAGAACTGCGAGTATGATTCAGTGCAGGTAGGGTAGGAAGGAGGAAGAGCCTCACAAGAACAAAGCTGGGGGCCAGGGCTGGGCTGGAGAAGGAGAAGAACGTGGTGGGAGAGTGAAAGTTTCCCCGTGAACCGGATGTGAAGAATCCCGTTTGTTCTGGGCCTCATACCCAAATACTATACGCGTGTGTGTGTGTGTGTGAGAGAGAGAGAGAGAGAGAGAGAGAGAGAGAGAGAGAGAGAGAGAGAGAGAGAGAGAGAGAGAGAGAGAGACCCGGCTTTGCACAGTGATTACTCCTGGCTCTGCACTCAGGGATTACTCCTGGCGGTGCTCAGGGGACCCTATGGGATGCTGGGAATCGAACCCGGGTTGGTCGCATGCAAGGCAAACGCTCTACCCGCTGTGCTATCGCTCCAGGCCCAATACTGTACTTTCTTGATTTCTTGTACCTTCTTGGACTCTTCTCTTAGATCATGGTAGGGAACCATGTAGAAGGAAAGCTCTGCGGACAGAGGAGCAGCAAAAACCCCAAGTCCCCGATTGTGGAAGAGTTCCAGGTCCCTGTCAATCAGCTCCGGGTGATCTTCAGGTCCGACTTCTCCAATGAAGAGCGTTTCACGGGCTTTGCTGCCTATTACGTGGCCGTGGGTAAGGTTTGTTCTTTCCTCTGCACCTTTTGATGGAGATGGAAGATTAGAGGCGGGGCCGGGAGAGCTAAAAGAGCAGGATGAGGGGCTGGAGCGATAGCACAGCGGGTAGGGCGTTTGCCTTGTACGTAGCCAACATGGACGACACAGGTTTGATTCCCAGCATCCCATATGGTCCCCCGAGCACCGCCAGGAGCAATTCCTGAGTGCATGAGCCAGGAGTAACCCCTGAGCATCGCCGGGTGTGACCCAAAAAGCAAAAAAAAAAAGAGCAGGATGAGACACCACAGAGGATCCCTCAAGAAGTGCTAAGAGTAAGCCCTGAGCACAGCCAGGTATGGCCCCCAGAACAAAAATTAGGGCCTGAGAAACAGGTGCTGAGGGACTGGTCCATGGTTGGAAGCTTGCTCTAAGTGTGGGTGTGGAGCGGAGGGCAGTTAGGATAGAGAAGTCCACAAGGACAATAATTGTTGGAAATGACCACTCTGGACAAGAACTGAGGGCTGAAATTAGGTAAAGGGGATATTCATAACCTTTCAGTACCTGTATTACAAACCATCGTGCTCAAAAGGAGAGAGAGAGAGAAAGAGAGACAGAGACAGAGGGAGACAGAGACAGAGAGAGAGAGACAGAGAGAGAAGGAAAATGTTTGCCATAGGGACAGGTGAGGTAGGAGGGAAACTGAGGACATCAGTGGTGGGAAATACATTTTTGGGAAGAGATGGGTGTTGGAACATTGTATGACTGAAACCCAACCATTAGCAACTTTGTAACTGTCGCTTTGTTGTATCTCATGGTGATTCATAAAAAAATTAAAATACAAAAAAATTATGGGCTGGACAAACACTGAATAAAGTAGTGCTGTGATGCACAAGGGTTTTTTTTTTTTCCAGGATGTGGGCTCCACCCAATAGTGCTCAGGAGCTGCTTACTGTTGGCTCAGTGCTCCGGAGTCACTCCTGGTGGTGTTTGGGAACCATGAAGTGCCAGGGATCAAACCTAAACTTCCTGTATACAAAGGATGTGCTTAGCCCTGCACAAGGTTTGAACTATGTCTTCAGCCCCACACAAGGTTCTGTTCACAAACAAGTGTTGACCAGGCCTGGGTCTTCCCATGAATTACCTTTGTGAAGTTCAAATACACATTCATATCTGAGTGTGACGATAATGGCACTAACATAATAAGGGGCTACTATAAACTGGGTATTGTACGAGGTATTTTCCTCACATGAACTCGGGCTCCATTTTGACTTCCATTAGCAATTCCATCTCAACTCTTCAAGGTAGGTATAGCTCCATTCGCTATAAGGTGAGTGACGCTTAGAAAAAAACGTATTTTATTTCACATTTTAATTTAATTTTGTATTGAGTCACAGTGAGAAACACAGTTACAAAGTTGTTCAGGATTGGGTTGCAGTCATACAATGTTCCAACACCCGTCCCTTCACCAGTGTACATTTCCCACTACCAATCTCTCCAGTTTCCTTCTTCCACCCCACCCCTGCCTGCCTCTATGGCAGGCACCCCCCCGCCCCCCCCGCCCTCAGGACTAGGAAAAGTTAAATCACTTGCCAAGAATCACACAGGGAATGAATGGTATTCCAATCCATTCAGCATGTGGGAAAGACAGCATCGAATTCGGTGTGCTTCTCCACCTAGCTCTAGGTGAAAATGAAGTTAGCACAGCTCACAGAGCCAAACAACTGCTTAGATCTGCCAGAGGAACCAACATCCTATTAAAAAAAACAAATATACAAATTATCCCTTCCTACAGAAGCCCTATCACACATTTAGCATGGTTAGCAGTGTCTCTGGGGTTGAAATGCTACACGGTATCATGGTATCACGGTCATCCTGTTGTTCATTGATTTCCTCGAGCAGGCACCAGTAACGTCTCCTTCGTCCTAGCCCTGAGTTTTTTTTTTTTTTTTTTTGCTTTTTGGGTCACACCCAGCGATGCTCAGGGATTACTCCTGGCTCATGCACTCAGGAATTGCTCCTGGCGGTGCTCGGGGGACCATATGGGATGCTGGGAATCGAACCAGGGTCGGCCATGTTGGCTGCGTGCAAGGCAAACGCCCTACCCGCTGTGCTATCGCTCCAGCCCCAGCCCTGAGATTTTAGAAAGTGCTATAATATTCAAGGCTCTTTCCGGATCAGGAGAATGAGACCCAACATTGTTACTGGTTTTTGGCATATTGAGTACACCATGGAGAATTTGCCAGACTCTGCCGTGCGGGCAGGATACTTTCGGTAGCCTGCTGGGTTCTCCAGAGTAAGAACTAGATAATAAGATGTCTAGCTCCTTCCGGGAGCTGGGTTTTATAGTCTCTGGGTCTTGGCCATTGATGGGATTACACGGTGGGCGACGGGGGCAGTTGGTGGGTGTGATGCCTACCTACTGGAAGATGGGGGATCTGGGTGGAGGAGGCCCAGTCCCGATTCGAGCAGACTTGGAGATCTCTGAAGTGCTTCATTTGAGAGAAAAGTCAAGGGTGCCTTCCTGGCATTGAGAAACCCCTTGAGCTGTGTAATGGTAGGGGACAATCTTGGGATCGTATTTCAGGGAGTACCATAGAATCGTACCATCCTGTGATGCATGATTCAGTGAAGGTCTTTGAGAGAAAAGTCTTCTTCCCTACCATTGTGTGCCCTTGTTGTGAGGGATCTAACGTCATTCTTCCTCCTGGATCCTTGTCCTGATCTTTTCCCCTACCCTTTGCAGATTTAAATGAATGCACAGACTTCGCTGATTTTCCTTGCAGCCACTTCTGCAACAACTTCATTGGGGGTTACTTCTGCTCCTGCCCACCCGAATACTTCCTTCATGATGACATGAAGAGTTGTGGAGGTGAGTTTGGCATCAACAAAGTGCTTTCCCCCAGGGAAGTTGGAAGACATGAAGTTTCTAGAAGGGCTTCATTTACCCTTCCAAGCCTCTGCCTTGATGTGGCATCTGTTCTTGGTTATCCATGAACTGGGGGGAGTCAGAAAGAGTTAAGTTGATGGCGAGTTGATGGCAAATAGCCTGCAAAGAGTCTGTTTGGGTCTGCTCATAACCCGGGGTGTCTCTATCCTAAGCAATGCAATGGGAAGCCCTGGGCATTGCACAGCTCTGTTGATGTCAATTGAGTGTGTCCGTTGATGTAGGTGCTAGTCATTGTCTGTTCATGAGACTAGCTGTAGATGAGGGGCCAAACTGCCTTTTCTGGACCTTCTATCTGACCCACACTCTTCTTTTCTCTAGTCAACTGCAGTGGGAATGTCTACACTGAGCTGACTGGGGAGATCACCAGTCCCAATTACCCCAATTCATACCCAGAGAACTCAAGGTGTGACTATCAAATCCGACTGGAAGAGGGGTTCCGAGTGGTAGTGACGGTGCAGAGAGAAGATTTTGATGTGGAACCAGTTGATTCGGAGGGCAACTGCCCTGACAATTTAATTGTGCGTGATGGCTGAATAATTTTCCTTCCAACTTGCCTGGACATCTCTTCTTAAAGATCTATCTATCTGTAGACTCTTTCTTCTCCCTCTTTCCTCCTTCTTGTTTTGAGTTTTATTGTTTTGGAGTGCTCAGGGAGTGACACTTGGCTCTGTGCTCAGGGGTCACTGCTGATGGTGCTCAGAAGGCTATGCAATGTCGGGGATCAAACCCAGGTCTCTTGCCTGCAAAGCTTGTGCTCAGTCTGTTGAGTCTTCTCTCCAGCCTTCCTTTTCATTTTATTTTTAAAATATTTATTTATTTATGCTTTTTGGGTCAAACCTGGCAATGCTCAGGGGTTACTCCTGGCTTTGCACTCAGGAATTACTCCTGGCAGTGCTTAGGAGACCATATGGAATGCTGGGACTCAAACCCCGGTTGGCCGCCTGCAAGTCAGATGCCCTACCCACTGTGCTATGACTCCAGCCCCTTCCTTTTTATTTTAAAACTAACTTTTGAGTCCTTCTTACTTCTACGTCCTATATTCTGCCTCTTTCCTTCAGTTCTTTCTCTCCCTTCTGATTTCCCTATTCTCACCCCCTACCCCCATCTCCAGTTTGTTTCAGGAGATCAGCAATTTGGTCCTTACTGTGGTGATGGATTCCCCGGGCCACTAAAAATTGAAACCAAAAGGAATACCCTTGATGTTTTCTTCCAAACTAACCAAATGGTGGAAAAAAAGGGCTGGAGACTTCGTTATCATGGAGATCGTGAGTAATGTACAAATTGCTCTTAGTGGTGTCAAAGTTCCTGAACAATGCAAAAAAAAAAAAATCAGTACAGGCAGACTGCTGTGTGGACATCTACTCTTGAGCGACTCCACTTCTTTCAAGAAGTCTACACCTATTAGTGATTGTCTGGGCCCATGAGTGTAGAACTCTTTGGGGGTGGTTAGTTAACAAAGCCATTTGAAAATAATTATTTATTTTTACTGTTTATTTATTTGGGCTGGAGCGATAGCACAGCAGTAGGGCATTTGCCTTGCACGTAGTCTGTCTGGCTGAGCCGGGTTTGATTCCTCCGCCCCTCTCGGAGAGCCTGGCAAGCTACCAAGAGTATCTCCCCCCACACAGCAAAGCCTGGCAAGCTCCCCGTGACGTATTCAATATGCCAAACAGTAACAACAAGTCTCACAATGAAGACGTTACTGGGCCCGCTCGAGCAAATTGATGAACAACGAGAGGACACTGTTTTTTGTTTTGTCTATTTATTTATTTATTTTGATTGGGCAAGGGTGCACACCTTATGGTGCTCAGGGATCTGCACTCAGGGATCATTCCTGGCAGGGTTCTGAGGAGCATATGTGGTGCCGGGGATCGAACCTGGGTTGGAGGTGTGCAAGGCAAATGCCCTACTTGCTGTCCTATGGATGCCTCCTGGAAAGTCCATTTTATTTGGACATCTTCATACTGGCAGGCTAGTCGGCAGAACTGAGGTTGAGCAAATGATTTCAGAAAGTCTGAGGAACCTTGTATCATTGAAATCCAAGCACAAAAATTTGTTAAAAAAAAAAAAAGTCTGAGGAACCTATATGCAGAAGAGAAACTTCTTCTCTTTGATAATATTCTCCCCCATCCCCTTCCATTCTTCCTAAGCAATTCCCTGTCCGAAGAGGAACATTGCCAATTCTGTCTGGGAGCCTGCAAGGGACAAGTATGTGTTCAAAGACGTGGTGAGAATAACCTGCCTGGAAGGATTCGAAGTTATTCAGGTAAAGGACCATTCTCCCTAATCCCAGGTCAGGATGCACATATTGGAATTATTAGGTTGCTACTACATGTATTTTATTTTTGCGGGGTGAGGGGTCACACCTGGCTATGCACAGGGGCTTCTCCTGGCTCATGCACTCAGGGATTACTCCTGGCGGTGCTTGGGGGACTCTATGGGATGCTGGGAATCAAATTTGGGTTGGCCACATGCAAGGCAAACTCCCGACCCACTGTGCTATCGCTCCAGCCCCTGCTACTAAATGTATTTTTTTTTTGTTTTTGCTTTTTGGATCACACCTGGCGATGCACAGGGGTTACTCCTGGCTCTGCACTCAGGAGTTACTCCTGGCGGTGCTCAGGGGACCATATGGGATGCTGGGAATCGAACCTAGGTTGGCCGTGTGCAAGGCAAATGCCCTATCCGCTGTGCTATCTCTCCAGCCCCTACTACATGTATTTTTATGTTGGACAAGGTGCTTTATGCCTTGACCATAAACAGAGCAGCTCAGATCTTTCATTCTTTGCGAGTCAGGGAGTTCCTCAGCCATATGGGGTTGAACTCTCCGCCTCCCATCTTCTTGGTAAAAGGAGACGTTCTGATGGGGCAAAGGTGTCTTGACACCCCAATTCATGAGGAGATCTGGGTCATTCTGCCAAGCTGTCCCCACGCTTCTTGTGGTGTGTGGCCTCACTGGCCCAGGGCCAGAGCTAGATGCCATTACTGAAGGGACGTCCTGATGTCCCTTTCAAAGCTCATGACAATGTCTGTTACTTCTAGGGAAGTGTTGGCTTGACCTTTTTCCATTCTACGTGTCAAAGCAACGGGCAATGGAGCAATTCCCATCTGCAGTGTGAACGTATGTGTCTCTTTTCAATGGGGCTCCCCTCTCCCTCCCAAAGGGAATGGAAGGATCAGTGCATTGAGGCACTGATAAAGGCATGATTTCCCCCATAGGTTTGTAGGAGGGTGGGTTGGGGTTTTGAAGGAAAACCAATTGCACACCCAGTCTCCAGCCTGCTGGATTAGTAGGCTACTTTCTTTCTTTCTTTTATTTTTCTTTTTGGGTCACACCCGGCAATGCTCAGGGGCTACTCCTGGCTTTGCACTCAGGAATTACTCCTAGCGATGCTCAGGGGACCATATGGAATGATGGGGATCGAACCCGGGTTGACCACATGCAAGGCAAATGACCTACCCGCTGTGCTACTGCTCCAGCCCCCAAGCTGGCTACTTTCAAAGCAAGGGGCAGTGAGTTTGGTAGAACTCCTGGCAGCAGGTGTGGCTCTATTCCTGGCTTCCAATAACTACCAGGTACCAGATTCCTCCCTTCTTTTAGGGGGTTATCTGGTGTGGCCAGTCTCAGTGAGCTGGGGAGCTGAGTGATGCCGGTTGGACAGTAGACCATGGGGGTGTTAGCCTGGGGACCCCGCCGAGAGGGTGGGCGGTGAGGGAGGAATGGGGTCTGCCTGGAGCAAGGAGCCTTCCTGGGAGGAAGAGCCTGTGCTGACCATCTTCCCTGCTGTCCTTTTGCAGCGGTGGACTGTGACCTTCCCACTCCCATTCGGAATGGTAACGTTGAAGAACCTGAAGACACTTTATTTGGTTCTGTCATTCGCTACACGTGTGAAGAGCCATATTACTACATGGAAAGTGAAGGAAATGGTGGGTTTTTTTATTAGGTGGGAGGGAGGGAGGGAAGGAGGAAGAGAGAGAGAGAGAGAGAGTGGAGAGAGAATGGAGAGAATGCACTGTAAGGTGAATGGTGCAATCTTTCCTGGTGGGAAAGATTTTGAAGAGAAGTGAGAGAGATGGGATGTTTATCCTCTTGGCTTAGTCTTGAATAATTTTCATACAGGGCAGAGTATGCACTATCTGACTGCCCCTAAGGAATCTGGTGGTTCCTTAGCTCAGCTTCATGGGTGGCAGGAATTCCCTCTGTAGTGGCCATTTCAAGAGCTTGTTCAGCATTTGACCTAACAGCTAATGTATAATTGAGAGGATCAGGTCACCCTACTATCAGTCACCCTACTATGATAGGTGGTTTTCTCCTCCCTCCCTCCCTCCCTCCCTCCCTCCCTCCCTCCCTCCTACCTTCCTTCCCTCCCTTTCCCTTTTTCCCTTTTTCCCTTTTTCTCTTTCTCTCTCTTTCTTTCTTTCTTTCTTTCTTTCTTTCTTTCTTTCTTTCTTTCTTTCTTTCTCTTTCTTTCTTTCTTTCTTTCTTTCTTTCTTTCTTTCTTTCTTTCTGATTCTATTTTCGGCCACACCAGGCAGTGCTCAGGGGCTATTCCTGTCTCTTCATGCAGGAATCATGCCTGGAAGTTCTCCAGGAACCATATGGGGTACAGGGGATTGAAACCAGCTTGGTCTTGTGCAAGGCAAGCACCCTACCCACTGTTCTACCTCTCTTGCCTCTTGATGGGTGGTTTTCTTTCTTCTTTTTTTCTGGGGGTCACAACCAGTGATACTCAGGAGTTAGTCCTGGCTCTGCACTCAGGAGTTACTCCTGGTGGTGCTCAGGGGTGCTGGGGATCGAACCTGGGTCCGGTGTGTGCAAGGCAAGTGCCCTCCCCACTGTACTCCACTGTGTTCTAGCCCCATGGTGGTTTTCTTAACTGACAGACTATGGCAGTACCAGACGAAGGGCTGAATAAGAGACAATAGGTCTCACTCCTTTGTTTTTCTATTATTACTATTATTATAGTTGTTGTTGGTGGTGCAGTTTGGTTTTGGAGCCACTTCCTGTGCTTTTCAGGGGTCTTCCTGCTCTGTGCTCAGGAGTGACCCTTGGTGGTGCTCAGGGGACCGTAGGTGGTACTGGGGATTCACCCAGGCTTGGCCACACGCAAGGCAAGCGCCTTAACTCCAGTGCTATCTCTCCAGCCCTCTTGTTTTCTTTTCCTCCTTGAAGACCTTTCTCCATCTCTATCCTAACTTTCTGCTTGAGAGACTGTTTCTTCCCTTCCCTGGGCAGAAAAGAGGCCGGAGAGGTGATTCGGAGAGCCTTCCTAAGAGTTTTTTTTTTTTTACTCCTTGGTAGTTATTTATTTATTTTTTATTTTAATGTGTCACCGTGAGGTACAGTTACAGACTTACAAACTTTCGTGCTTACACTTCAGTCATACAATGATCGAGTACCCACCCATCCCTTCACCAGTGCCCGTTCTCCACCACCAGTGATCCCAGTGTCCCTCCCGCCACCCCCATCCCCCCCCCCACACCCGCCTCTGTGGCAGGCACATTCCCTTTCCCAAGAGTCTTTCCTAATGGATCGGATCCAGTTCCCCCTTCAAATCCCAGAGGAGCGGACATGCTGAGGGAAAGGTGGGGATGGCAGAGATGATGTGGTCCTGAGTGCGTCCTGGGTGTCTCATGCTCTTTGCAGGCGAGTATCACTGCGCTGCCAACGGGAGCTGGGTGAACGAGGATCTGGGCACGGAGCTGCCACAATGCGTCCCAGGTACTCAGGGCTCGGGGTTGGGGGAGACCAGCGCCACAGGTGCCAGGGAGGCGGGTCCGCTCTGGCAAGTGGGTGCTGTGATCCTTTGGGAGCTGGATAGAAATCTGGGCCGAGTTCTGATGGATGGATACGCTGCTGGGTTGAAGGCCTTACTGGTGCTTTGTGGGAGCCCCTGAGTCTCCGAGTCACTGTGACTGACCAGATGTGGAAGAGTCAGTCGTCCGTGCCAGGTGGTGTTAGAATCCGGCTCGTAAGGGTTGGTGACATAGAGGCAGAAAGGGGGAAGTGGGTCACACAGTCACGGTCCTCCCGTTGTTCATCGATTTGCTCGAGCGGGCCCAGTAACGTCTCCATCGTGAGACTTGTTGTTACTGTGTTTGGCATATTGAATATGTCACGGGGAGCTTGCCAGGCTCTGCTGTGCGGGTGAGATACTCTCGGTAGCTTGCCGGACTCTCCGAGAGGGGCGGAGGAATCAAACTCGGGTTGGCCATGTTGGCCGCTTATAAGGCAAACGCCCTACCACTGCGCTATCGCTCCAGCCCGCGGATCACACATGGGTTAGAAAATGGGGCCTGAGGCTGGAGTGATACAGCGGGTAGTGCCTTGCACGCGGCCAACCCAGGTTCAATTCCCAGCATCCCATATGGTTCCCTGAGCACCACCAGGAGTAATTCCTGAGTGCAGAGCCAGGAGGAACCCTTGAGCATCTCCAGGTGTGACCCAAAAAGCAAAGAAAAAGAAAATGGGTCCTGAAGGTTGCCAAGTGAGGAACCAACATTTGGAAATACAAAGAAGAGCCTAGTTTTATGTTAAAGATCTATGGGGTGGGGTGGGGGTGGGAGAGAGCCCAAGGGGCACCTGCTTGGTGTGCCGGAGCCCCAGGTTTGATTCCTGCCCCTGCAGGGATCCCCCTCCCCCAGCACCGCTGGGAACAACCTGGTCACTGAGCCAGGAGCAGCCCCTGACGCTACCAGCTGTGGACTCCTAGCCCCCATATCCCCAGTCTCTGTGCGCCTAACGACAGACCCCAAGTGCTAGAACGCATGCCAAGCGCATGCCAGGCCCTGCGTTTAATGACTAGAACTAGACGTATGTTTTCCAACACTGCTGGGTTTGGACCTTATTCAAAAACAAGAAGTGGGCTGGAGCGATAGCACAGCGGGTAGGGCGTTTGCCTTGCACATAGCAGACCCGGGTGATCCGAGTTTGATTCCTCCGCCCCTCTTGGAGAGCCCGGCAAGCTACCGAGGGTATCTCGCCTGCACGGCAAAGCCTGGCAAGCTCCCCGTGTTGTATTCGATATGCCAAACACAGTAGCAACAAGTCTCACTGGGTCCGCTTGAGCAAATTGATGAACAATGGAGGACAATGCTGCAGTGCTACAAAAAAAAGAAAGTCGGGGCTGGAGCGATAGTACAGCGGGTAGGGCATTTGCCTTGCACACGGCCGACCCAGGTTCGATTCCCAGCATCCCATAGGGTCCCCCACCCCCCCAGCACCACCAGGAGTAATTCCTGAGTGCATGAGCCAGGAGTAACCCTTGTGCATTGCCAGGTGTGACCCAAAAAGAAAAAAAAAAAAGTCAATAGGAACCAAAATATAGAGGAATAAAAGAAATGAGGAGTGGAATTCAGATCAGAGTTGAGCAGAAGAGGGCTCTCGGGCGAAGTGGGAATAATATAAATGACGGGTAACTGTGTGGTGGAGAGCTAGGACGGAAAGGATGAACTGCATCTCCACCCCCTTTCAGCAAGTCACAGAGGGGGGGCTGCTCAGTCCCTCTTGGCAGATGAGTGAATCAAGTGCAAGGGAACAGAGTTGTGAAGAGCAGGGGGGAGCCTTTGGACCCCTGTCTGAGTCTTCCACCTGCTGTGCACAATGCAAGGTACTTTCAGGCTGTGGAGTGAGGGATCGCAGCCGGCCAGTTCATTTGAGATAAAACACAGTTCTTCTGATACTGGGAAATGACCGAGTCATTCGACCTGGAACGCGGAGGAGATAAATGAAGGAAGAAGAGAACCCTCTCTCTCTCTCTCTTTTTTTTTCCTTTTTGGGTCACACCCGGCGATGCACAGGGGTCACTCCCGGCGATGCACAGGGGTCACACCCGGCGATGCACAGGGGTCACTCCTGGCTCATGCACTCAGGAATTACTCCTGGCGGTGCTCAGGAGATCCTATGGGATGCTGGGGATCGAACCCTGGTCGGCTGCGTGCAATGCAAATGCCCTCCCCGCTGTGCTATTGCTCCAGCCCTGAGAACCTCTCTTTGACCTGATCCAAGTATGACTAGAAAGGCCTAGGCTGCAGTCAGACCTCAGTGAGGAAGCTGAGCAGCATTTGATCTGGTCATCAGCAGGTGACCACTTGCTTTCCTGCCTTTGCTCTCCCCATCTCTGTCTAAGTTTCAGCCCTCCGACCCCCACCCCTCGCCATTTGCAGGGGAAATCTGAGGCTGAGACTTGGGCAAAGTGTGACTTTAGAGCAGTTGTGAGTGTGACTGTCTACCGTCCCCTTGCTGCCTCTGTTTAACCCATCATCGCCCCCAGGTCTTCTTGGGGGTCTGGGCATAGGTTGGTTCCAGTTGAATCAGGCATTGAGCTGACTGGACCACAAGCGTTGGCAATAATGGACCGGAGAACTCCGGAGCCCGGCAGGGTTTTGAGGTGGAGGGTGTGCAGGGGACCCATAATCTATTTCCTGCTCCCTTCCTGCCTTGTTCTAGTGAGAGGGGCACTCAAGCCATGCTCAGGGGGCCCAATGGATTCTTGGTCAACCAGTCTAGATAGTTTGATGCTTAGCCCAGTGATGTCTGGGTCTGTGGTGGTGGGGCTCATCGGGACCAGCCTCTAGGATGCTGGGGGTGTCTTCCAGGGCTCACTTGGCCTCTGCTGGACACACTAGTGCAGGGGATTGAACCCAGGCCCCATCCGTGCAAGGCCAGACTCCTGTACCACCTCCCCCTAACATGTACCTTGTTCTTCTCTCCACCCCCCCAGTGTGTGGCGTTCCCCAAAAGGTCTTTGCGGGCATACAGAGGATAGCTGGAGGAGCCCCAGCCGAGATCCAAAACTTCCCCTGGCAAGTCTACTTTCCACCCCCTATGAAAGCCGGCGGGGCCCTCATCGACGAGTACTGGGTGCTGACGGCTGCCCACGTCGTGGAGGGGAGCAGTGACTTGCAAATGTACATGGGGACCACCTCGGTGGTCCTCTCGCGGTTGAAGAACGCCCAGGTGCTCACTGCTGAGCGTGTGTTCATTCACCCAGGCTGGAAAGCCGTCGAGGACATAAATGCACGGAAGGATTACGACAATGACATTGCACTGGTGCGGCTGAGAGACCCAGTGAAGATGGGACCCACTGTCTCCCCTATCTGTCTCCCAGGCACCTCCTCAGAATACGACCCCCCAGTGGGGGCTCTGGGCTTGATCTCAGGCTGGGGCCAGACAGAGAAATACTCCAATGGTGTTTTCAAACTCATGGCTGCCCAGTTGCCAATAGCTCCCTTAGCCAAGTGCCAACAACACCTCAGGGCGACACATCCTAGAAGCACCTATGTCTTCACCGAGAACATGCTCTGTGCCGGAGGAGAGAAAGGTGTGGATAGCTGTAAAGGGGACAGTGGGGGGGCTTTTGCTCGGCAGGTTCCCGATGTAGAGACCCCCAAGTTCTATGTCGCTGGCCTGGTGTCTTGGGGCTCTGAGTGTGGGACATACGGTCTCTACACACATGTGCAGAAATACCTGGGTTGGATCATGAAGACCATGCAGGAAAATAGTCGGCCTGCTGAGGATTAATCTGTGGGCACGCCATGACCCTGCCTCATCTCTTGCTTTCCGTTCTCTTGATATTTCCACGGTTCCACCGTGACTGAGAGAAGGCACAGAAGAAAGTTCTTTGGCTGCGATTGAGGGGGCAGGAGCTGGAAGTATCTTATGGTGACCTTGGGCAGGTTGATCAGTGGGAGGTCTGGGTGTGTGGGGTTCTCTGCTGAGTACCCCTGTGGATCACAACACGGGAGTCTGGTATTATTAGTCCACGGTGGCAGGGGGTGTGGATGGGGGATTTCCCTTTCCTGATGAGTGAGGGCCTGGTGTTCTAATTCTGACTCTGAAATTTATGCTTAATTGCTTTGATTCTCCTTTACCTGCTTAAACTTCTGTTTACATTATCATTCTCAGTTGTCTGAGATAATAAAACATGTTTATCAACCCGTGCTGACTGGTCTTATTCCACATTAGGGGTCTCAGAACTCGGGGTGGGGGCGGGGTAGAGAGATAGTACGGTGGGTCAGGTACTTGATTTGCATTCGGCACCTCCTAAGGTTCCGTGAGCACAGAGCCTAGAATAGTCCCAGAGCACTTCCAAGTGTGTCCCCCTCAACCCTCCCCCCAGAAGATCTTGGCTCCATACAAGGGGTGTTGCTGAGGGGACAGCTGTGACATGGCTAGAGCAATAGCACAGCGGGTAGGGCGTTTGTCTTGCATGCAACCAACATGGCCAACGCGAGTTCGATTCCTCCGTCCCTCTCGGAGAGTCCGGCAAGCTACCGAGAGTATCTCGCCCGTACGGCAGAGCCTGGCAAGCTACCCGTGATGTATTCGATATGCCAAACACAGTAAAAACAAGTCTCATGATGGAGACGTTACTGGGCCCCCTTGAGCAAATCGATGAACAACAGGAGGACCATGTGTGTGTGATAGTAGCTAATATTTAATCATTTGGGGGGAGGTGATCCACACTCAGCAGTGCTCAGGGCTTACTCTTGGCTCTGTGCTCAAGGATCACTCCTGGAGGGGCTTTGGTAACCCTTGGTGGGCACACAACTCAACTGCATGAAAGACAAGCATGCTATTTGCTATACTATCTCGCCTGCCCCCGAGAACAGAAACTTTTATTTATTTCTCTTTGGGTCAACTGGCAATGCACAAGGGTTACTCCTGGCTCATGCACTCGTGAATTACTCCTGGCGGTGCTTGGGGGACCATATGGGATGCTGGGACTCGAACCCACGTTGGCTGCGTGCAAGGCAAACACCCTACCCGCTGTACTATTGCTCCAGCCCCCAGAACAGAAAATTTTAAAAAAGCAATAAAGCGAAATAGGGACTGGAAGACAGCTCGAAGGACAGGCACACACGCCAGTGTTCAAGGGGTCCCTGGGTTCCATCCCTGGCACCATATGACTCTGCAAGTACGACCAGGAAGGCTTTGAAACAAAACAGAGAAGACAGCTCCTCCTTTCCCCAAATGACCAGTGATGAAAACGGCCATGCGAGACACAAAGTACCTCTGGGGCTGGAGCAATAGCACAGCGGGTAGGGCGTTTGCCTTGCACATGGCTGACCCGGGTTCAATTCCCAGCATCCCATACGGTCCCCTGAGCACCATCGGGGTAATTCCTGAGCGCATGAACCAGGAGTAACTCCTGTGCATCGCCCGGTGTGACCCAAAAAGAAAAAAGACACAAAGTGCCTCTTTGGGTTAGATATTTCAGGGGAGTTGGTTTGTTTTTTCCTTTTGGGTGGGGGTAAGCTTAGTGGTGCTCAGAGGCTCCTCCTGGCTCGGTGCTCAGAGACTCAACTCTGAGGCATTTGGGAACCCATGCAGTGCTGGGGATTGAATCTGGGCCCCCGCGTACATAGTATGCGCTAAGCCTGTTGGTTGAGCTTCCTCCAGCCCTTCTAAGTTAATATTGTGCTATTCTTCTGGCTATACAAAAGAAAGTAAAATTGCCATAGATAAATTGCATTTCCCTTTTTTTTCATTTTTTATAATTTTATTTATTGAATCACCGTGAGAGCAGTTATAAAGCTTTTGGGTCTAAGTCTCGGTCATACAATGAAACACCCGTACCTTCACCAGTGCCCATTCTCCACCACCAAAAACCCCAGTATACCCTGATCCCACACTCTCCCCCTACCTGTGGGGCAGATGATTTCCACATTACTCTCTCTCTACTTTGATCACATTCAATATTTTGACACCAGACCCATCATTATTATTTGAGATTTTACCCCAACACTCAGATCTGCTGAAAAGGCAACAATAGACAATCTGTGTTCTATTGCTGGTTATGAATAACATATGATGTCGCGTGGCTGCAGTAGGGCCATGTGGTTTTGAAATTCCGAAGTTTTAACACTTAAATCTGGAGGGATTTCTGCCAAAAGCCACTGGGTTTCGAGATCTGCTCCTGAGTCTCTGGGATCATGGTCGTTGAGCAGCTTGATTAGGAGCCAGAAAGGCCGTTAGTGGGCGATGACTTGGGGTCTCGTTGGGGTGGGGAGGACAGGCCTGGCTCCACCCCATCCCGTGAGGCCCAACAAGTTTCGTCACTGCGGGCCCAAGCCTGACAGTCCAATGGCCTCTGGAGGATGACGGCCACCAAGCCGCCAAGAGGGAGCAGGCGGAGGGACAACACCCTTTCCTCCCTGGGGTGGCCCGGCAACAGTAACACACTGTGGGGTCTGAACGCATTTCTGCCAAAAGCCACTGGGTTTTGAGATTTGTTTCTGAGTCTCTGGGATCATGGCCATTAAGCAGCTTGATCAGGAGCCAGAGAGGCCATTCGTGGGCGATGACTTGGGCTCTCGTTGGGGTGGGGAGGACAAGCCCGGCTTCACCCCCATCCCATGAGGCCCTGTGTGTCTCGTCACTGGGGGCCCAAATGTGACTATCCAGTGGCCTCTGAAGGATGGCAGCCACTGGGCCGCCAGGGGGAACAGGCCAAGGCACGAAACCTATTCCCACCTGGGTTGGCCCAGCACTGGTAGCCTACTGCAGGGACTGGACGCATTTATACCTAAAGCCGCTGGGTTCCGAGATTTGTTTCTGAGTCTCTGGGATCATGGCCGTTAAGCAGTTCGATCAGGAACCAGAGAGGACATGCCTCCAATTATATAGCTGAGCCGGAGGTGGATTGTGGGTGTGTTTCCCACATACCTAACTTTTGGCCGTTTATTTTCTTGGTAAACTTTGCCCCAAGTTTTTGGGGTCTGGCCAAAGGCATAGCAGCAATTTTGGGGTATCTGGAAGTCTGAAGGCGCCATGAGGCTGCTGATGCACTCGCCTCTGCATTTCCTTTTTATGTGTATTTTTTTTTTTTACTATCTCTAGACCCCACCAGGTGTATTATTTTTCTTTTCTTTTCTTTTGAGGGGGGTCACACCCAGCGATGCACAGGGGTTCCTCTTGGCTCTGTACTCAGGAATCACTCCTGGCAGTGCTCAGGGGACCCTATGGGATGCTGGGAATCGAACCCGGGTCGGCTGCGTGCAAGGCAAAAGCCCTCCCCGCTGTGCTATGGCTCCAGCCCCTTCTTTTCCTTTTTAAAGGTAAAGGTAAAGGTAAAGGCCCTCCCGTTGATCGTCGATTTGCTCGAGCGGGCCCAGTAACGTCTCCATTGGAGACTTTGTTGTTACTGTGTCTGGCATATCGAATACTCTCGGTAGCTTGCCGGGCTCTCCGAGAGGGGCGGAGGAATCGAACTCGGGTCGGCCATGTTGGCTGCGTGCAAGGCAGATGACCTACCCGCTGTGCTATCGCTCCAGCCTCCAGTCTTTTTAAAAGACTTTTTAATTGAATCACTGTGAGGTAACACTTACAAAAGCTATTTATGACTGGATTGCAGTATTCCAACATCCATCCCTCCACCAGTGTACATTTCTCAGCACCAGTATTCCCAGGTTCTCTTCCATCATTCCCCACCCCCAGCCCCTGCCTGCCTCTATGGCAAGCGCTTTTCTTCTTCTTCTTCTTCTTCTTCTTCTTCTTCTTCTTCTTCTCTCTCTCTCTCTCTCTCTCTCTCTCTCTCTCTCTCTCTCTCTCTTTTGGGCATTGTGGTTTGCAATATTGATAATTTCTTGTCCAGTTCATTCCCAGCTATTACTGTCATACCGGTCTCTTCTCTATCTTGTCTATTCTCCATCCCCCGCAAACTTGTCATTAGTTCAAACCAACCAGTCCTCCTAGCCCCTGTTTTCCCTGGCCATGGATTTTAGTTTTATAATATATATATTATATACCACAAGTGGATGCAGTCATTATCTGTTCCTTCTGAAACATTTGGGTCACTTCATTCAGCGTGATACTCCCCATGTCCACCCTTTTATATGTGCTCGGAGATTCTTTCCCGGTGATGCTCGGGGGACCATGTACCACAGGGATCAAACCTGGGCCTCCCACTGAGCCATCTCTCTGGCCCCAGATTATGTTTCTTTAATCCTACTATTTCCCCTCCCTCTTTTTTCCCCCCCTCTAAAGGAATAGTTCAGGATATAACGTCAGTTTTATTGCACCTGCAAAGAGGAGGTGATGGGAGTAGGGCATGATGACTGCAGGTAGAGGGTTAAGGAATAACACGGGGGCTGGGTCGATAGTCCAGCAGGTAGGATGTTTGCCTTGCATGGGACTGACCCGGGTTTAATCCCTGTCACCCTCAGGGTTCCCCAAGCATGCCAGGAATCTTCCTTGAGTGTAGACCTTGGAGTATTGCTGGTATTCTCCACCCTTCCTCACCAAAAAAAGGGAATGAAATGGATTCATGCCATTAGGGCCACCGAGGACACAGTCCTTCCAGAGGCTTCTTGTGGTAAATCTTTGATGCTCTAGTTCTGGTTACTTCATCATGTTTACCCTTCAGCCTAAGGTCAACAGTTGCATTTAGTTTTTCTTTTTGATCAGTGGAAGGACAAAGTCCCTTTCTCTTAAAGGGCCCCAGATATGCAACATTTGACTTCTGGTGAAAAACGACTTTCCTGAAAGCCACGTGTCACATCAAACAGGGCAAGGTCCTCCTGACCTCCTGGTCTCCACCCACGGCTTTCATAGGACACCCTTTAGGGTAGCTGTGGTCTGAGATAGCTCCCCTGCCCTCAGCTGAAAAGATACCAGTCAGGGTAGGAGGGATAGTAGATAGTACAGTGGGTAGGGCACTTGCCTTGCATGCAGTTGACCCAGATTCAATGCCCCGCATCTCATACAGTCCCCTGAGCACTGCCAGGAGTCATTCCTGAGTGCAGAGCGAAGAGTCAACCTTGAATATCACTGAGAGGGGTGTGTCCCTCTCTCCTCCTCAGAAAAAAACGATACTAACCAGGGTCAGAGAGATAGTAGAGTGGATAAGTGATTGCTTTGAGTGCATAGATTTGAGTTTAATCCCTAGCACCACATATGGTCCCCTGAGTACTACCAGGAGTGATCCTTGAACACAGAG